TAGACAAGAATTTTTTTATATGTAAAATTATTTGTAAATAAAATAAAATTTTCGATAATATTTTTATCAATTTTATCAAAACATCCTATTATTAATTCTTTTTCTTTAATTTTTGTTAAAAAAATATTTTTTTTAGATATGTGATATTGTTATTATTAAATTTTTTATTTAAATAATGGCTAACATTATTACAAGTTGTATTCGAATAAAGAAATAAAATATAAATCAATAAAATAATAATAAAATAACAATAATACATTTTAATTAATAAATAAAACAACTGGCAAAATATCAAAAATTTTGTTTTTTTTATATAAAAATAAAGTCAAGCTACAATTTTAAAGTTTGTTTTTATTTAGAAAAATGCCAAAAACAAAAAATTTAGAATATTATAAGATTTTGGCATTAAAAACAACTGCAACTTTTATTGAATTAAAACAAAAATATCAAAAATTAGTTTTATCATACTATCCTGATAAGAATATAAATAAAACTTTATCAGAGTATATCGAAGCAGAACAAAAATTTAAAGAAATACAAGAGGCTTACGAATATTTAATTGTTAATCATAAAGAACCAAAATCTAGAAAACAAAAGACAACTCTAAAGAAAAATATGAAAAGACATCAATTCCAAAGAAAAAACATGCATCAAAACCAAAGAAAAAAACAACTAATAAAGTTACTAAAGAATTAAAAGAAATATTTAAAGATGCAATAGATCAAAAAATTGATCGATATGTTGATACTTTATTAGCTAATATATTAAAATAAATTTATTTATTTAGTAAATTAAATTTTCTTTTTTGTTTTTTAGCATTAGTATAATTAGCAACTACATGATAGTATTTACACTGTACACAACTAAAATACCAATAATTTGTATCTTTTGAGTTAAATAAATTAATATTATTATCTATACAATAGCAAGTTTCCGAAAAATGATATTTCCAGCCCATTTTAAAATATTGAAAATATTTGAATCTAACAAATAGATCTAAAAATAATTCTTTTGATATATGTTGATTTAAAATAATACTATTTAATAAAATAATTTTTCAAAATGTAAAATCTTTTGTTGTTGCAAAAAATTTATTAGTTTTATGAAAAAACTCTTCAAGATGAAGTTGGATATATTTTAAAGCAAGATCATTTAGTTGGGTTTTAATTTTAATGCCAGTATATTCTAAAAAAATTTTAATAAAAGTATCTTCAAAAGTTTTTTAAAATAATGATTAATTAAACGAAGTTTATCAAAAATATTTTTTAGATGCCATTTTGAAAAAGTATTATGAATATTTTTATCGTAAAAAGCTGAAATACAAATATGTTCAATAGTAATTAATACCAATTCTTTAGAGAAGGATATTACTAATTCTTTAGAAAGATATTTCATTTTTTATATTAAAAATAAAATAATTTTTGATATGTATTTTATAATTTTTTAATTAGATACATGTATTTTAATTTTTATATTTATATCTAAATTAGTATTTACTTTTATAGTAATTCTTTAATTAGTTTAGATCAATTAATGTGTGTTGTTTATCAAACGTTAATGTTAATTTTTTATACATATATATTTTAAAGTATTTTCAAAATTAAACAAAATATTTGTGAAATAGGGTGTTCTTGAAAAACAAAAAAAACTTAGATTTTTTTTGGCTTGTTGGAAATTTGCTATAAAAAGCCTTGAAAAAATATCAAGTTCACCATCAAATCAGTTTTGATTTGATAACGAATACAGTTAGTTTCACTACAGTTATTCATTAAGAAACAAAAAATTGTTTCTTAAAATGTCTCTTATTAATAGAGACATTACTACACATTTTAATCGATTCTCTCCAATTAATTATAAAATTGTTCATGAATCATTTATTATTAAAAATTCTATTGCTTGGTGGAATATTGATCTCGGTCGTTTATATGTAATTAAATATTCAAAATGAAATTCTAAAGAAAAATTTGATATGTTAGAACATAGTCAGCATATTAATTTTTTTGATTTTTTTTCAATGCAAATATTCTAACAAACGAGAATTTCAACCACATCATTGGCAATATAACAATAGGTATAAAGATAATCGATGTCTATTTAGTCAAAGATGTAATTATTTTAAATTATTACAAAGTGTTGATAAATCTCTTTCAGCAAAAGAAAATTAAGTAGCATGTCAAAAAAAGGATCACTTATGCGATTTAAAAGATATTTTCGTATTTATAAACTTGATTATGATATTTTCTTTTGGATTAAAAGTTTTAAAGATACAGGCACAACAATTTATAAAAATAAAATTAAACTTTTACACGAATTCAAACAATATGTATTTCACAAAGGTAAAAAGAAAAAACAAATATCTATTGCTAAAGAAATAGAAACAGATATAAATAATCATTTAGAAAAGATCAAAGAATATCAGCCTGTTTTTCCAGAATATCATCCTCAATCTCCATCTGCTCAGTCTAAAACCGAGTAGATTTTTTTCTACGTAAAAAAAAATGGACTTACAATCAAAATTATTATTTTGCTTCAAGAATTTGGTTATACCAAAACAATTTCAATTGAAGATATTTTCAATTATCTAGATGAATGACAAAATTAACATTTGGTACCAAAAAATCAAGTATTTGATTTTGAAAATATATCTACATATCTTGATCAAAATCCTCAAATAGATGAATATTCTTTTTTCTACGATGCAAATGATCTCAATTCCATCAATATAAAATACTATTATAAAAGAAGATTAAATAAAAGAAGATGCTAGAATTGTGGAGAAACAATAACACATGAATATTGTGCGGTATGTAAAAAAATTAAATGTGATTGTGTATATATTTGTGGTATACATACCCAACTCAAAAAAACAAGCAAGGCAAAGTTACACAGTTTGCTAAATATAAATATTTTACAAACAATATAGATAAGATTATTCATAATTGTAATAGAAAAATTTATAATGAATCAGTAGTTCTTTTTACAAATGAACAAAAAATACAATATTACAATTATAATTTTATAAATAGAAAAAAAATTTGGTCTTGTTGTGATAGTCAAGATCATCTAGAAACACATTGTTCTCAACTTTATTTGAATTTTTTTAATTTTTATTTTTTTATTATATCAATAAATATGCTTAGCTAGTTTAATATTGGCTAAGTTTTTATTAATGTAAAACAAAAATAGTTTATACAAATTATCGTTATCATCAATATTGTTCTAATTATAATCAATTGATTAATTATATTTCTACAAAGCAAATAACTGATGAGTTATATGTAAAAGGGCATAAATTTGTTGAAACTTATCAAAAACTTTTTGATAAATTTCAAATTAATAATGGTTATGATTTTACGAATATTAAATCTATATTACAAATTTATCAATTAATAATAGCTGCACATAATATAAAATTAAAATTATATAATTTTAAAACTGATTTATCAATTATTATTGAAGATTATTAAATACTTAGTTATTATAAAATATCTAATCAGTTGATAACTGATTAGAAATTTAATGGAGCAAATTATGAAACAATTTGTTAAAGAATTAGAAAAAATAAAAAACAATTATATTTTTTGCAAAAAAAATTATAAAGAAGCCCAAAAATTTCATAATAAATATAAAATTTTGTTTAATGGAATAGATCTTTATCAATGTTATGATTTAAAAAAAATTAAAACAGAATTACAATTTCAATAACTCGTTTCAATTATTTTTTTAATTGAAAATGAGAAGAGACATTTAATAAAAAATTTAATCTAATCAGTCAATTGACTGATTAGAATTTTAATTATGCAAAAATGGTTGTAGAATTAATTGTTGAAAATATTTTTTTTTATATTAAATTTTATCTTATACTTAATTATATTATTATTCTATTAATTATTTTTTTATTATTTTTTGCCATCATGACAAAAATTAATATTGCAATTGATAGATATATAGCTTCAGGCAAATCAAGTATGTGTGAATTATTAGCAGAAAGATTAAATTATCAGTTTATTGATAATGGATTATTTTATCGTTACATTGCATTAAATTTTTCTAATTTAGAAGAAATTAGAATAATTTCATGGTTGTTAAATCAACAAGAAGAAAATATATTAACTCAAGTTAATCAAATTGATAGCAAACAATTAATTTCTAATGAATTATTAATTAAGATTGCAAATAATATTAATATTCGTAAAGCTATCAATAAAGTTATTCAAGAAATCACAAAACAAAAAGGATATATTGTAGCAGGCCAAGATACTACATTAATATACTTCCTGATGCAGAAATCAAGATTTTTTTAACAGCTGATTTTGAAACACGTGTTAATCGCCGAATTTTTCAGTTTAATATTAAAGAATTTAATGAATTGTAGTTAGATATAATTAAAAAAGATTTAGTCATATCTGATTTAATCAAAAAAGCAAAAAAGATATCTCAAAATATTGATACAACATATCTCACATTATCAGAAGTAGTTGATAATATTTTATCATTAGTATTTAACAAAATTTTTAAAATTCGATATGAAAAATATTTTCAAGTAATTTTTATATTATTTTTATTAAATAAATTTAATCTAGTTAGTTAATTGACCAACTAGATTTTTTTTTACATAACAAAAAAATGGCTAACAAAAGAAAACAAACAGCAATTGTTGATGAAAGTTCCGAAACTTTTAACAAAATTCTAAAAACAAATGATAAAGATAAAATTAAAATAAATAAAAAACTTCCCAATGAGAAGGTTGAATATCTCTTTGGATTGAAAGGTTGGGAATTCCAACAAGAAGTTATTAATAATGTATATAAAATTGTATTTCCTGACGTTGAAGAACATTTAATATTTATGCGAAATTGATTATATTATAATAATATTTTATTAAACAAGTATAAAAATATTGAAAGAAATTTACCAAAAAATCATAATGATCCTAATTTCTTTAAAGTAAAAGCTTTTATTAAAGATAAATTAAAAGGCTCTAAACAGGGTATAAATTTTACTGTTCAACATTTAGAACAGTCTATTGAAGATCTTGAAAGTGAAATTCAAGATGAAAATAATGAAACTGAAACTTAGTTATTTTATTTAATAAAATTATATTTATTTTATATTTATTGATATATCTATTCAGTTGTGATAACCAAATAGAATTATTTTTACATAAATAAAAATGCCAGCACTACGAAATAATTTAACTTTTTTATCTACAAAATATAATAATTTTAATTTTCATACTGAATATAAAACTTATAAAAAAAAAATCAATCAACATATATTCCAATTCTTGTTTGAAGAAGTTCTTGTTAAACAAAATCTTATGATACTAATTATCATTTAAATCGTCAATATAATAAAAAAAAAGAATCATTATCTGTTGGTACAGAAAATATACTTTTAAGAAATTGGGGGATCATTGGGATTATCTAACATTAATATCTCATGAAAAAGAAAATAAAATAACTATTTGAAATAAAGAACATCCTGATTGTGATCGATATATTCAATATCTTGAAGAAGGTTATAATTCAGATGAAGTATATTTAACAAAAATTTCAGATACCGAAGTTATAGATGCTGAAGTTATAGATACACATCTAACAGAAATTTCAGATTATGAAAGTGATATAACTATACCAACTTTTGTAAAAGAAATAGAAGTTGCAGATAAATTAGAAATTTCTGATTGCGAAAGTGATATAAGTATATCTTTTGTAAAAGAAATAAATGAACCATCAATTAAATACATAACAAAACAAAATAGTATTGTTTGGAAGGATAATAATATTATTTTTACAGATCAAGAAATTTTTATGGATGACTCTAATGATCTGCCTTCAGAAGAAGAAGCTCTTAAATTAGGTTTAGAATAAAATTGTAATTTTATTTAATCAGTCTTTTTAAGACCGATTAAATTTTTATTTATATAATTATAAAACATGGAAGAATATAACTTTGTAAAAGAAAATTATCGAATTTTAAATACTTTTAATCCTCAATATTTTACATTTATCAACATATTAAAATCTATAGAAAAATGTGGATTTTTTACAGATGCTGATGCTGTAATTAAGAAAATTAGAAGTTAAATTGAAGTTAATAATAATTTAATGCAACAATATCAAGCTACAATTGATAAATATGAACAACAAATTAGAGAATTTTCTCTATGTTTACTAATTTCTGGTGATAAAAGAATTTGGCTCAGTCAAAGAAATAATGCAAAAAAGATTTTTACAATTATCTTCAAGCAACTGGTAAAGCTAAAGAAAAAGATGAAATATTTGAAGAATGTGCTTGAAAAGAAGCTTTGGAGGAAGCAAATATTGAAATAAAAAAACTTATATTTGTTTGTTTTCATGAAGAATTTAGAGAATTTCTTGATGGAAATACTTGTTTATTTAAAACTGCAATATATTTTTTAGTTATTGGTGATCAAGTTCCAGTTCAAACTGAACCAACAAAAAATGATTCATAGATTCTTTATGATTTAAAAAAATTACCAAATCTTAAAGTAACCAGTTCAATTAAAAAAAGTTATAATCAAATTTCTGATGCTATTAATAGTAAGTTCAGAAGTATTAGAAACAAAAGATGTTGTAAACTTGAACCCGAGCCTGTTGAACAAATTAAAAATAGTGTTGATAGTAGTGTTGCTGAAGAGCATGTTGAGAGTTTTATTAATGAAGTATCAGTATCTTATTCTCCAAAAAAAGTTAAAAAAAGATTAGCAAACAATAAAAAACATGGAAATTGGAGAAGAGATTGATTATAAATTTATTTTTAATTTTATTTTTATTCATTTATTTAATAAATATTTATTCTACTCAGTTAATAACTGAGTAGATTTTTAACATTGTAATGACAGAAGAAGAAAAAAATATCAAAACAAATTGTAAATTCTTCTTGGGATATTTAATTTGATAGTTCTTCTGAACAATTTTTTATAATTCAATATATTTTTGAAATGAAAAAATATAAAGAAAAAAAAATAAATATTTCAAAATGGAAAGAAAAAAATTATAAATTTTTAACCAAAAAAGAATGAAAATATTTTAATAAATTAAATAAATATTCTATTCAGTTAATTGACCGAATAGAGTTTTATTCATATAATTCTAATTATAATGAATACTAAAAAAGAGGTAAATATATTTTTACTGAGTATTTTGTTTAGTTTCTTTATCAAAATGTAAGTTATCGCTACGAGATTTTTTGCTATTAGCAAAACTGAATTGTTTATATAGATTTTGATAACAAAATTTCATGAAAAAAGTAGTATTAGACTTTGGTCATGAATAGTATTTAGTATTAGAAATATTGATTGAAGCAATGACAACAATTTACTCATATTTTTTTTTATTTTTAGTTAACGCCAAAACAAAAAGGAGACAAACTTGAACTTTTTCTTTTACAACTTTTACGAGAAAATTCAATCGATTGTAATGTAACAAGAACAGTTTATTTTGTCAATTCAATATTTACTTCTATTGGTGATAGTAGGATCGACTTATTTGGTAATTATAGATCGATGAACTACATCATGCAGGTTAAAAACAAAGTGGAAAAATATAAGGTTGAACCAAGTGATATTCAAGAATTTTCTGGAGTATTAGCAAAACAAGCAGAAGGTACTATAGGATTTTTTGTCACAAATACTACTTATTCTTTAAATGCTCACAACGAGGCAAGTAATTCAAAACAACAGATTATTCTTTGTCACAAAGATAATGTAATCGAAAAAATTAAAGCAACAAAATTAAAATTAGAAAATAAAGAGTTACAAAAAAATTCATTTGAATTAAATGATTTGGTAATTAAAAATCTTGAAATCGATTCTGATGAATCTACTGTATATTTGTTTGGTATAAAAATTGATGGAAGA